TAAATTTGGGGGAAATCTTTTTGTTAGCCACTGTTTTTGTTGTTTTTTTTTTTTTTTTTTTTTTTTATAATCTTCTACTAGAGTGCATGTGCATGAACCAGAGAAAAGACAGAGGGAGGGAGAGAAAAGCACCCTCCACAGGGGGTCACACTGCGCTCCCTCCTTCCAGTCCTGCAGCCCAAGTTCCTGAGCACGTGTGTGCACACTCACTCCCAGAATTTACAGGCTGACCGGACCCAGGTCTCAAACCTTGCTCGGCCTGTGGCTTCCAGCTCCACAGTCCTGTGTGCTACTGACCGTGCCATAGCAACTGAGCCTGAACCTTCATCTTTTTTAAGGGAAATTCTGAGATCTGTTTTTAAGAATCTGTCTTTACCTAAGCTGACGGCTTTCAGAAAGTCACGTGACAAGAACAGGAGGGCTCGATTTGAGTTAGTTCTTCTTGGTGAGCTATGCCTCTCTAACAATACTAGATGTTACATAGCTCGGTTCCTGGGAAGTAATAATATTAGGTAGCAAATATTGGAAAGACCACTAAGAAATCATGTTTCCAAAGAAACATTTCACTAATGAATTTTTCAAAAAATCTTCAATAATTACCTGAATAGTTCTATTTGAGTTTTTTATTCTGTTTAATGTATTGCACCAAGTTCATCCTGTTTTTTGCTTTTTAGCAGGTTTAAAAAAATGGAATACACTAAGTTTTCTTTTGCTGCTTGAGAAATGATTTTCTCATTTTTGAAGCGAGAAACCCTTACCACACTTGTGTTAACTGTAAAAACTTCCTTTTCTGGTTTTAGACCAACAGCAGCGGAACTGTTAAGGCACAAATTTTTCCAGAAAGCAAAGGTAGGCAATTGTAGCTTTTCCTTCTGTTCATGTGATAAACCTCAGTTACCCACGTTATGTTCACACTGCAAGAAGGAGCAGTTGTTCAGATACCTGTATGCAGGAGAGACAATGCCGTATCAAGTAACTGCTGAGGGCCAGCTTGACTAATGAAGATACTTCTTTGGAATTTAATAGGCTCTTTTTATATAAGGTAATTTAAGTGTCAGGTTAAACTTCAGCATAGGAACAATGAATATTTAATCTTGTCATTATAAATACAGTCTGTAAAAAATATTGAACTTTCGTTTCGAGCTTTACTGCCCAATTAGTAAATACCTCGTTTCCCAAAGGTGTCTTTTTTTTTTTTTTTTTTTTTGGGGGGGTTTTTTTTGTTATAGGGCACGTGTGCTCGCCAGACAGACATAGAGACAGAAAGCGAGAAATCACCCCCCAGGGGGGATGGCCACGCCGCAATCCCTTCTCCTCCGTTCTCCTCTCGGGATCTTGGGCACGCACGCACACGCTCCTGGCGTGAGTTTAAGCCACCGGGTCCGGGACGCAAACCGCGGTCGACTATGTGGGAGTCCAGCGACATAGCCATTATGCTAACTGCTGGTCCCCTCCTAAAGGTGTCTGATAGTGGGAAGTTACAGAAGTGGGAAATGCGGGGCCATGATCCCAGGGGACATGTGATGAAGCTAGCGATTGATAGGCAGTGGTTGTACAGGGCACGGAAGCTCCGTCTTCACTTAGAACACCGGGCGGGAATGTAGTCAGGTGGCCTTAGAGTGACAGGACGGGAACTCTGCTCCTGCTCCTTGGTAAAGCAGGTGCTCTGTCACATTTCAGTGGTGAACATTTCTGTGCTGATACATTTATTTTTGATTTGATAGAAACATCTTTATAAGAAGAAAATAATTGATATTTTTCTCTCCAGAATAAAGAATTTCTTCAAGAAAAAATACTGCAGAGAGCGCCAACCATTTCTGAAAGAGCTAAAAAGGTAACTGGGAGTTTCGCTGTTTTCTTGCAGAATCGCTCGTTTGATTCAGTCGATTTTCCATTTTGAAAACTTAGATTAAGTAACGCTTGTTTAACGGTAGATGGGTATTACTGGCTTGCTTTCTGTCCTTTCCACAGCTTGCTGTGATGCCATCATTCACAAATACTGTTGGTTTGTTGTACGCCTAGGTAGTTTTCTGATGCATACCGGAATGAGAAGCTGTACCGAGCAGTGAATCAGTGAATTAATTCTGAACCCTGTTGAATCACTGTTTCAGTTACCAGAATGAGCCGTGGTTTTACGTAGCATTTACAGCTGTGGCTGTAAGTTATAGCAACCTCTTCTAGCTCCAAATCTTTTATTGCTTTTACTGAAAGACCAATAAAACTTTGCATATATAATTTCTAAGAAGTTAGGTCATCACAGTGAGCATAAAGAATGCATTAAGATTCTAGTTTGAACAAAATATATGATTTTTCTAGTTCATGATACTTTTATGAAACTTGAGAACAGTAAGAAGAAGGGACTCCTTTGTTCTGAAAAGAGGCTGGAAGGAGGTGAAGACCCTGTACTCACATAATGCAATAGTCGTCCTGGCCAGGAAGTGAGAATTTTAAGAACCAGAAGACTAAAAGCACTTTGAAATGATAGTCTTCCTAGCACTGGTACCACAATGAACTAATTTCTCCTTTAGAGATCCAGTTTATCTTTCTACAGACATGGATACTCAAATCTGACATTTTTGGGGGGTGGAGAATGAAGAGATTTTTCTATGGGATGCGTGCACTTGCCAAAGAGACAGAAAGCGAAAAATCGACCCCCTGCAATCCCTTCTCCTCCACTCTTCTCTCAGGATTTTGGGCACACACGCATATGCACCCAATGTGAGTTTTAAGCCACCGGATCCAGGACTCGAACCATGGTCGACCGGGTGGGAGTCCAGCAATGTGACTATTATGCCACGCCACCTACCGCCCTGATTTTCAAGTCATCAAGTCCGGGACTCAAAACCTGGTTGGCCATGTGGGGGCCCAGCACTTTAACCACTGTGCCTCCTGCTGACCCGGCACCCTGAATTTTGACAGTGGTACTGTATCTTCACTCCTGTCCAAACTGAAAGGCTCAGACTGTACCCCATTGGGGTTAGTGCCTGGCCAGGCTGGGAGACCAGGTCCAGCCATGGATCCAGACCAGACCCTTCCCACCTGCACCGTCCAGGTCCTCAGGGACCAGAGTTCAGGACATGTAGGGTGCAGCTTGGAGCTTAGGGGTACCGACAGACTTCTTTTTTTTTTTTTTTTTTTTTAAAGGGTTTTTGCTATAGGCGGACACAACTAGAGAGAGAGAGACGGAGAGATAGAAAGCGAGAAATCCCCCCCCAGGGGGGTGGCCACGCCACAATGCCTTCTCCTCCATTCTCCTCTCGGGATCTTGGGCACACACACACACACACACGTGCACCCCACGTGAGTTTAAGCCACTGGGTCTGGAACTCAAACCACCGTCGACTACATGGGAGTTCAGTGACATAGCCATTACGCCAACTGCTGGTCCCCGGAGATTGCTGTCTTCTTGGCAGAAGTTGGTTACAGTTCTAGTGCCCTTGAAACTGCACAAATACGATGTTGACCTGGTCAAAAAAAGACCAGAGTTTATTTATCTCGGTTTATTGGGTTTATTTATTTTGGGGACTCAAACCTTTCATGTCTTTTGCTTAAGTGTCTCAGGATATTAAAAATGAATTCGATTCTGACCAGGTGACGTGGTGGCTAGGGGGCTGGTTCCCACATGGCCAACCACAGTTTGAGTCCCAGACCTGGCAACTTGAAAATCATACTGGGTGTGTGTGCACGTGTGCCCAAGTCCTGAGAGGGAAACGGAGAAGAAGAGATGGCGGCATGGCCATCCTTCCTGAGCGGTGTCTCTCACTTTCCTTTCACCATCTCTCTCTGTCTCTGTCCGGGGAGTACATGTGCCCTATGGCCAAAAAAAAAAAACCTTAGAAAATTGTTTTGGATTTGACCTGTGACTTGACATAAGAATGTTGTTGTCTGGGCACAGAGTGTGGAGGTACAGGTTGTGTCGCTGATTGTGACCGAAGACAGAGGAGATGTGGACACAGACCAGGGGGGACTGAGGGTGTGGATCTTAACGAGAGCGCTCACTTCGGGGGGAAATGAGTATCTGTCTCAGGGTGGAGCGGTAGGAGCAGAGTGCGGTTAGACCGAGTTTCCGTTTGGTGAATGTGAAACGACACCATAACCCGTCTCTTCCCCACGAGCAGGTTCGGAGAGTACCGGGTTCCAGTGGCCGCCTTCATAAGACGGAGGACGGCGGCTGGGAGTGGAGCGATGATGAATTTGATGAAGAAAGCGAGGAAGGGAAAGCAGCAATTTCACAACTCAGGGTGAGTCTCGTCTGACTGTGTGCTCTGGCTAGACATGGCCACCATAAAGCAGCTAAGGAGAGAGTGCAAGAGTTACTGACGGGCGTCATCGAACAGCTGTAAGAGGAGCCAGGGTAATTCTTTCTTCTTCTTCTTCTTCTTCTTCTTCTTCTTCTTCTTCTTCTTCTTCTTTTTTAAGAATTATTTTATTGTACTTCCTTTCTTTCTTTTTTAAAATTTGACTAGAAAGGGACCGGGTGTCAGGGGTGAGGGGAGTGAGAAAGCAAGCTGCCAGGTCCAGGACTCGAACCGTAGTTAGCCATGTGGGAATCCAGCACCCTTAACTACCACGCCACCTGCCAGCCCCGGAGCCCTCTGGGGAAACTTGGACTGGCACATCCGTTAACATACGATAAAATCACTATACATAAATGGCCCAAATCTAGAGAGGGAAACCCCACTGTCTGTGATGAAAGGTACACTGGGTAGGATTAATGGGTTGTTAGACATTTTAGAAGAGAAGGGTTAGTGAACTTGAGGCTAGCAATACATAGAAACCATGTCCCTAAAGTCTTTTCTTCTGCAGTTTGTACTGGGTTGCTAACCCTATCCCATCTGACTGGTGGGAGTAGGCTCTGTTTCTGGCTCTGTGTGAGTGCTTGCCACCTGTTGGCCGGCAGATAGAAGGTGTTTTTTTGTTTTGTTTTGTTTTGTTTTTAAAAAGGGTTTGGGCTGGCCACTCCTTGCTATGACACATTAGCTATTACCCGGACTTGATATTCTCCTCAGTGTAATGATGACGAGGGCCTAAACCATTGTGCAGTGGTAAAACTTGATGTTCTGCACAACTGACCCACAGGAGGAGGTTCCAGGTTCACGCCTCTCATCAGACCGTTAGGGTCCCAGGCTGCCTGGAGTGATGCCGAGGACGGGGTTTGAACTGTGGTTGGGCACGTGGGGTCTAAAATGTCTAACAACCCATTAATCCCGGTGCGTGAGAGACCTCACTTCAGTCTGTGTGATAGGCTAACTTATCTCCTCTGGCCTGCCTATCTTTGGGTGACCCTCATCCCTTACGCACCCGACCCCCACATACCTACTGTAGCACCAAGATGAAAGGTAGCGAAACCTGGACACGCAACTTCGAGATCGTTGTTCTTCAATTTGGGGTCAAGCGTTTTCTGCAGTAAAGCCCACCATCAGAATTTCTCCACTTGGAGAGTATGTGAGGTGATGAGCTCGCGTGTTGGCGTCTGGGCTGAGAGCTGAGGCCGAGTGCGTCTGACTCAGGGTCAGTGGAGGTGGTGCAGTGGCAATGCGGGGCCTCACGATGCCGAGGCCAGGTCAGGAGGGCCTGGTCTGTGTCCTAGGGCCACGCCTTGCCTGCTGGGGAGGGGTCCACGATCTTGGCTGGCCAAGGCTGGGGGTGGTATTGCACTGTGAAAACCCTGCTGAGCGTGTCCCTCCACCCCCCTCTCATAGAAGACGTAAATAAAAGTAAAAACTTTAAGAAGAATTTCACTTGGAAGAATGTGACCGTTTAGCTATTTGAGAACTTGCCCGTAAAGCTCAGGTTGCGAGTTGTGGCATAGAGTGCACCAGCATGTCCACCGCAGCCCCTGAGCCCCAGTGCAGTAGGAGCGTGGGTTTTCTCTTTCCAGAAAGCTGTCCCTGGAGCTGTCAGAACGAGGCAGAACTGACATGTGCTCAGCACCACCTGCAGTTGTCGCCCGGCTACGAGTCACCTCAGTTCTGAGTTAACGAGCATCCTTTTTTGTCTTTTAGTCTCCCCGAGTGAAAGAACCATTGTCAAATTCGGAGGTACGTGATTGTGGCTGTTGAATCTCTGTTAAAGAATATGTGCCTTTGGTTGGCTTTGGTTTGGATCTTAAGCAGTTTTCGTGTGTGCCTAGATGAAAATGAGACTTTACACCAGCAGATTTTTTTTTAAAGAATTGTTTTTATTTAATTTTATTTATTTTAATTTGACCAGAGAGAGAAAGAGTGAAAGTGGGAAAGTGAGCCACCAGGTCCAGGACTCGAACCATGGTCGGCCATGTGGGAGTGTCCAGCGTCTTAACCATCATGCCACCTGCTGGCCCCTACACCAGCAGAATTTTAAAAGGTGGCCCCAGGACCCAGGACGTTCTATGTTGCTCGGTTACCTTCATGAACTGCTTTTTTGTCTTGGGTTGCTTAAAGTAGAAAATGGTCTTTCTGCTTTTCTTTTCTGAATTTTTCAAAGCCTCTCGTCAGATAGACTCTGCTTTTGTCATTACGTCCCTCGCGTGATAAAAATCCTGCTGGACAGAATCCTGGTAGGACGACGCTGCTTAGTCTCCCTCCCCGAGGATAAGAATCACTTCACGCGTCTGTTCTGACACACTTCCTTCCCCGGGCAGCATCTGCATTCTGAGCTCAGGATCCGTTTAATAGCAGCACGTTTCTTGTTCTTAAAGGTCTATTCTTGCCCGTGCTGAAAGGGGACGTTTTTTTTACTGCCTTGGTGTGTATGCAGTACATATTTTCTACACCTGACTATGCACACAACTTGTGTACATAAAGCTGTATCTAAGACTAAGCATAAATATCACATGCTAGCGTATTAACAGACCAGGAACTTACGCTAAAACTGCTCTTCGGGCATGCTTGCGGCTGCTCTTCTCGATGCATGATAGGGTGGCCCCTCCCTGCCCCTCAGAATCACACACGGCCATGTCCCCTCTTTCCTGCCACCACGCCCGCATCCCTGAGTGAGGATGGTACCAAGGTCACTGGCCCCACGGGCCAAAGGTCGGCATGACACGTGTGCACGAAGTACCTTCTGTCGTTTTAGCCCCCCGGCACCTTGGGACGTTTCTGTTACTTTGAACGGAACCTACCTTGACTTACTCCGTACTGCTCAGAAATGGAGTGAGATGGTATTTCACAGATTGCCCAGTTCTGCTTAGTTTTTCCTTGTTCCTTTTCCTATGTGGCATCTCCTCATGAACTCTCACATACTCACATTAATACTCATGACTTTTTGAGTTTAATTGTGTTAAAACTCACGTAACTTAAACTTTACCCTCTTAACTGTTTTCAAGCACAGAGAGTCCCGTGACATTAAAGTACATTCAAATTATGGTGCAGCCCTCCCCATCATCCGTCACCAGAACCCACTCAGCTTCCTGCCCTGAAACTACACATTTAAACAGTGACCCTCCGTTTGCGCCTGCCCTCACCCTCCCGCAAACACTGTTGTACTATTTAACTACAAATGTGACTGTTCTAGGCACTGTACCGAAGTGCAATCATTCCTTTGTCCTTTTGTGACTGGCTTACTTCACCTAGCTTAATGTCGAGGTTCATCCTTGTCGTAGCCTATGTCAGAATGTCCTTCCGTTTGGGGGCTGAATCATATTCTGTTGTATGTATTTACCACACTTTGTTTATGTATGTCAGTGGACACTTGGGTTCTTCCTCCTTTAGCTTTTGTGAGTAGTGCTATGGAAATGGGCATGCGGCAGGCTCTTTGAAGACATGCTTTCAGTTCTACGGGTGTAGAACCAGCTAGACCTGGGCTCACCAGATGATACGCTTTTGCTTTTGTTTTTGCTCTCTTGCATTCACCGAGAGAGATGGGGAGAGGGGGAAAGTGAGAAACCACCCCCTGGGGCGATGGCCATGCAGCAGCCCCTTCTCGTTCCTCCTCTCAAGACTTTCGGGCATGCATGCACGTGCATCCGGCATGATTTCCAAGCCACCGGGTCTGAGACTTGAACCACAGAGTTGGCCGTGTGGGATTCAGCCACCTTAACCTCCGTGCCACCTGCTGGCCCATGCTAATTCTGTTTTCTTATTTTTTGAGAGCTCGCAATTTTCTCTTCCCACCCACAGTGCCCAGGGTTTCAGGTTCACTTCCTCTCATTACTTCCTGTGTCCTTTCTGTCTTAACTGTGCACATGTTTTCTGGAAACTAGCTTTTTAAAATAGTGCTAATAATTTATTAAAATTTTCAAAATTAATCATAAAGTTTTATCGAAAATCTAGAACTAATGAGCAGTCTCCTCCCTCATCTCCTCGCTTTTGATTATATCATCTATTAAGCCTCCGTTACTGTAAGTCAGGGAGGCTGAGGCAGGGAGACAGCCACATGGTGGGACCCTGTTGAAAA